TCAGTCAGTGTGCAAGTTGGAGCTCCTCTTGTCGGTGATGTGTAGTTCCCTGCTATACATTTCTAGTGACACAACTGTTCTCAACATATAATACAGCTTCCTTCATTTATTGAAAAGAAAGTCTTCTGTAACTCTCAACTAATTTTGGGTAACGTCATACAGACACTACCCAAATCGGGACACTTTTTAGATAAATATCAATGTTCTTTATACCATACTATCAGTTCCAACAAAGTTTGTTCATTTTTCATTAATAGATACTATCCACTTTTCACTTCTATCACAATTTGATATTTCAAATGCGTGGTTCTATAAAAAGAACGCGAGATACCATCAGATTTAGGTAGGCCTTTGAACCGGCTTGGGACATTTCTGGTAATTTGGCTAATATTTTTGGGGATGAGCGATCGATATCGGCAGAAAATATGCATAGTTGAAATGGTTAAGAGTCAACGAGGATTCCGATTAAATTTCTTCTCCAAACTAGCATTAGTTTTGATAAAATAGCCTTTGAAAAAGAAATCCAAATAAATAGCGTCGCACAGCATGTGAATCAGGAAAAATAAGGACCAACAGGAAGTGAAAGTTAAACAGGATCTCTGATGGAGTTACTGAGAAATGCAATTAACAGAACTTAAGCTCTAAATCCAAGATAGTAGTCTGACAGCTATCGTTTTTTTATTGATCATTTTTCTCTCTCTCCAATCATTAATAAAATAAGACACACACATCTAAGGACTACGGAGAATCTACATGTAAAACTTGACAATCCATCAGGTAGGGCAAGGACTATAAATGGATTCTGTTGCAACTACATTTGTTCTCGAAAGAGAAAAAAAGAACTGATTAAGGTAACTACTTGGTCTAGATTGAATTAAAAACGAACATCGGAGAAGCATGTACACAGTGATGGTCATTATGATAATTCAATTTAACATCTTTTTATTTTTTCAACTATCAAAATGTGTTTCCGATTAAGATTGAAAATATCATTTCCCCAGAAATATATTCAAACATATGTATCAAATCATTGGTAATGCCCTTCAAACACAAGTCAGTGGGCGACCGTTGATAGAAGTTTCTGTTGGCCTCATTTTGACTATACACGATCACAGAATTGATCAGGGATAGCTTCGAAACGGCCTTTTTTTTTTATACAAATCAGGAGCACTGAACCCGAAATTCTTCAGAAGCAATGTCAGTCAGTGTGCAAGTTGGAGCTCCTCCTGTCGGTGATGTGTAGTTCCCTGCTATACATTTCTAGTGACACAACTGTTCTCAACATATAATACAGCTTCCTTCATTTATTGAAGAGAACGTCCTCTGTAACTCTCAACTAATTTTGGGAAACGTCACTCAAACACTGTACCCAAATCGGGACACTTTTTAGATAAATATCAATGTTGTTTATACCTTACTATCAGCTTCAACAAAGTTTGTAAATTTTTCATAAATAGAAACTATCCACTTTTCACTTCTATCACAATTTGATATTTCAGATGCGTGGTTCTATAAAAGGAACGCGAGATACCATCAGATTTAGGTAGGCCTTTGAACCGGCTTTACTGTACCCGGAAAGGGACATTTCTGGTATTTTGGCGAATATTTTTGGGGATGGGCGATCGATATCGGCAGAAAATATACATAGTTGAAATGGTTAAGAGTCAACGAGGATTCCGATTAAATTTCTTCTCCAAACTAGCATTAGTTTTGATAAAATAGACTTTTGAAAAAGAAATCCAAATAAATAGCGTCGCACAGCATGTGAATCAGGAAAAATAAGGACCAACAGGAAGTGAAAGTTAAATAGGATCTCTGATGGAGTTACTGAGAAATGGAATTAACAGAACTTAAGCTCTAAATCCAAGATGGTAGTCTGAAAGCTATCGTTTTTTTATTGATCATTTTCTCTCTTCCAATCATTAACAAAGTAAGACACTTAGGACTACGGAGAATCTACATGTAAAACTTGACAATCCATCAGGTAGGGTAAGGACCATAAATGGATTCTGCTGCAACTACATTTGTTCTCGAAAGAGAAAAAAAAGGAACTGATTAAGGTAACTACTTGGTCTAGATTGAATTAAAAACGAACATCGGAGAAGCATGTACACAGTGATGGTCATTATGATCATTGAATTTAACATCTTTGTATCTTTTCAATTATCATAATGTGTTTCTGTTAAAAGATTGAAAATATAATTTTCCCAGAAATATATTCAAACATATGTATCAAATCATTGGTAATGCCCTTCAAACACAAGTCAGTGGGCGACCGTTGACAGAAGTTTCTGTTGGCCTCATTTTGACTATACACGATCACATTGATCAGGGATAGCTTCAAAAGGGCCTTTTTTTTTTTTTACAAATCAGGAACATTGAACCTGAAATTCTTCAGAAGTAATATCAGTGTGCAAGTTGGAGCTTCTCCTGGTGATGTGTAGTTCCCTTCTATACATTTCTAGTGACACAACTGTTCTCAACATGTAATACAGCTTCCTTCATTTATTGAAAAGAAAGTCTTCTGTAACTCTCAACTAATTTTGGGTAACGTCACTGTACCCAAATCGGGACACTTTTGAGATAAATATCAATGTTCTTTATACCATACTATCAGTTCCAAAAATGTTTATTCATTTTTCATTAATAGATACTATCCACTTTTCATTCTTTTTCTATCACAATTTGATATTTCGGGTGCTTCTATAACAAGAATTCCACAGAAGTGGATGTGTCGCCTGCGCAGGGAGCTGGGAGATTGTGCTTAGCACTGCATGAAGTTTGAGTTTGATCGGCCCAAGGAAATTCAAGTTATCGCACGAAAACAGATTTACTATTTATAGGAACAGTGACCTTGACCTTCGGACCTGAAAAGCAATCCCAAGCAAGCACTTTTGGTAAGGAAGCACTGCATGAAGTTTGAGTTTGATCGGCCCAAGGAAGCTTAAGTTATCGCATGAAAACCTCTGTGCGGACGCCGCTGCCGCCATAGCAAACTTTTCGCAGGCGACACAAAAATTAAGCGAAATACCATCAGATTTAGGAAGGCCCCTTAACCGGCGTTACTGGACCCGGAAATGAATACTTCTGGTATTTTGACGAAATTTTTTGGGGATAAACGATCAATATCGGCAGAATATATGCATAGTTGAATTAGTTTCGAGTCAACGAGGGTTCCGATTTTAATTTCTTCTCCAAACTAGCATTAGTTTTGATAAAATAGACTTTTGAAAAAGACATTTAAATAAATAGCATCACAGCACGTAAATCAGGAGTCTTGTTTTGGTAATTATTCTTACCTTTAAATTGTCCATGTAAAGATAATCAGCAGCCAATAAAGCATAATACAGTTTAAATTGTCATGAAAAGTATTATCATTTTTTGGGCCGTTTTCCCACAAGTGCCCTGTGTTGGGTATAGTTGGTACTATTTATTGAAAATTGCAACCGAAGATGGGTTGGCATCATACACCTCTTCCAATGCAGTAATTTGGTAGAATGATCCATGTTTTCTTGCATTTTCAACACATTTTTTTAGTATTTAACTGTTTAAATCTATTTTAATACTCACCCATAAAACCAGCTGGGTAGTCCTTGGCAGTTCTCACCTTCCCATCAACTTTGATCAGCCTCTGGTTAACGATCTTCTTTACTTCGTCGTATGTGAGGGCATACTTTAGTCTGTTACGTAGGAAAACGATCATGGGAAGACATTCCCTCAATTTGTGTGGGCCTGTGCTAGGTCGAGGAGCAAAGACACCACTCAGTTTGTCAAGCATCCATGACTTTGGTGCCGTCAGGCGCTTCATAGACTTCCTACGTCCTCGATAACCCTGAAACATTACATTCAAGAGTATTTGAAACGAAACTGCTACAACAAAACGGTACATGAAGGGAGAGCCTGCACGTCAGTATTTTCATGCTATAAATTGATTACAAAATGAATGGCACACCAAGAGCACAGGCGCTTGTTTCGATCCATAGATAATAAGCAAACATGTTAAATGCTACTGCAAAGTATGACAAATGAAATCTAGGTTGTTGTCATACCACGAGCACAGGGTCTTATTTTGATAAATAGATAAGCAAAATTGTTTATGATACTGCATCGTATGACAAATGAGATCTAGGTTGTGGCACTAACTAAACGTTTTTCCGTGTCAAGTGTTAGATCATGTTATGAACGACGTCGCCGATACTTGCTTAATTTATTTAAAAAGAATAAATTCCAAAGCAACAAATACTCATTTTATAATCCCCATTTTATCCAAGTTTCAGAGATTACATGACACGATCACATCGGCAATGAAATGGGCAAGCGACAACTGTTTTCATAAACTTAAACATGCTGAACTGTAAGTTTAAAAAAGGATTTATTTACTTATTCGAAGCCATGTGTGAAAAATACCATGTCTTTTATTAACTTTGAAGTTTGGTTATTGTATATATCTAATAAATTTGTATTTTAGTACAGTGTAAGAGTTAGGATTGAACGGATTGTATATCACATGTCAGCAAGTAGACCCACCATTTTGGCTATACACAGTGAAAAAGACCGTTCTACTAAACCGGAAGTATGATCAGCACGGAATCCATAAATACCAAAACGGACCAAAAAGGTCCGAAATGGACCAAACCGAAACGGATAGAAACTGATACTACTTCTCAAAGAACACTTTTCATCTGGCTGTTTTTAGTAAAATAAAGCTAAAAGGACAATTTTAGTGTGGAACGAATGTGATTGGATTATGGATTTATTTTTGAAATATACAAAATATGTACTGCTTCAAAATAGGTGCATTAACACATTGCTTACTTACAACTTTACGGTATAATTTTGATTTTAATAAGACTCCAAATGAAATGATTTACTTCAGTAAAATAGATAACATTTATCATCGGAAAATATATGAGTTGTTTTATAAATTTGCAACAATTTTTAGATATGTTTGCCGATTCTGTCCATTCCGGTGATTAATACTTCGCAGTTTCAACATCCGGTGTCATGGCTGACGTACCGAAAGTAGGGTCGAGAAGTCAACATAGGAGGTTGCAGACAGGTTTTCATGTTTTGCCTCCTCTGTGGGTTAAATCAAACTGCCGATAAACACTTTTATATTTAATCAGGATATAGAAAAATCATGGATTCGTCTGGGGATATGGAAGGCGTGAACTGGGGAAGTTTTGAAGGCTTTGATATGCTTGAGGCTGAAGATGACAATCTCGCACCCGATACCAGTTCGGTAACTCGTGTTTATTTGAACTGCGATTCAAATGATAGTCAACGGGAAGAGCTAAGATCAGGAGACATGGAACCCACGGATTTCTCATCTGGTGCCAAAATGTCACAGAACCATCCCTCTTCAAATGACGGGTAAGATCCCTGCCTAGTCTACCTAACGAAGACGGAATTGATAATAAATAAACAACTTATTGAGTGGTCCGCCTTACTGCACAGTAGGGGTTTATTTTCTGTTTAATGATGATAATAATAATCCTTATTTAATGTCATTTACATTTTTTAACAACAAACATAAATTGAGCTTGGAATAGCATTTATTACAAAGCTTATAAGGGAAAAAAATAAAGGTTTCCCAATGAGTAATGGTTGGTTATCATGTTTATCTAACTCAAGGTGTGTATAACGTTACATGTAGATGTCAATTAACCTCTCAAACCTCCATCGCTGCGGTAACATAGCTTTCTGACGACAAGATTTTTTATCTATATTGAGATCTCCCTCATTCCGCATTTACTATGAGGGAGAAAGTGTGTGAAACACGACTGAAACTGCTTTCCCTTTTTATGTATCAAAAAAAAATTGAAATAGCATTCATTTGATTGAGACACATCTGTTATTATCATTACTCACACCCTGCAGTGACCAGGAGATCTTTTGAACACAGGATGTAGATTTTGAGTTTGTTTGGGTTTAGACTTGAATGAGTGAGTTCTTCTTCCATGAACGGATGAAGGCTCTAAGGTTGAAGCGATAACTGTCAGAGTTTCGATGGAGATTGGTAAATTTCAGCAAAATGAGGGAGTCTCCCTTCTAATGAGAGAGGGTTGACGGCTACTATTATAGACAGGGATTTAAACCTAGAACCCTACAAAGTACAAACTCTAGACCGGTGCTCCTCTAATTGAGCTACCTGGTCGTCAACAATTGATCCAGTCAAATTTCCACTACTCCTCCCTCCTGTTTCTAAGTCTTGGCCCTCAGACACAACTATTTAAAACCAAGGTTCAGGTATCCCTTGAATTTAATTGAAAAATAATGGACGCAGGCTGAAAGCCTCTAAGTCCATATCACAAAACATTGTATAAAAATATTATATTGTCACTGGTTAACATATATAAAATTTCCCAAAAGAGTACATTATCAGTAATTATTGTAAATAGTGTCCTTCAGATGGTTATCCAACAGGATCTCAAAGTCCTTCGTGGTTTCTGCATTTACAACCGATTCCGGTAGACCGTTCCAGATATCAACTACCCTAAACGTGAACGAGTTTTTCCTTAGCTCTGTACTACATCGTTGTTTATACAGCTTAAATTTATGTCCTCATGTTCTTTCGTTATTATCGTAGACAAATATGTCTGACGTGACTTTCTCATCAAACTTCCTCTTCACAATCTTGAAAACGTTAATCAAATCACCTCTAGTCCTTCGGTGTTTTAGTGTCGGTAGTTTTAATTTTTCTAAACGTTCTTCGTAGGAGATTTCTTTAAATCCAGGTAGAAGCTTAGTGGCTCTCCGTTGTACATTCTCTATCATCTGGATATCTTTAAGTTTATACGGACTCCACGCACTGGCTGCGTATTCTAGATGCGGTCTTACCAGAGCCTTAAATAACTGTCTAAAAATCGATTCGTCCAATAAAGTAAATGATCTTCTAATCATCCCGAGTACTGAATTAGCTTTATTTATTGAGTTTTGAATGTGGGTCCGAAAGTCCAGGTTTGCATCCACCGTTACTCCTAAATCTTTTTCACTGTTGATTTTGTCAAGTACGACTTCTCCAGTTTTGCTCGCGAGACGGTATGTTCTATTATTGTTTGGTGATCCTTTAACCTGAAGAACCTTGCATTTATTCGGATGAAATTTCAGAAGCCAATCATCAGACCATTTTTGAAGATTATTCAAATCTGCTTGTAGAATTTCCTTATCCTCATCAGTTCGTATCTTGCGATATAATTTAGTATCATCCACGAATAGAGAGCCAATGACGCAGTGTTCTCGGGCATGTCATTGATATACATAACAAATAATATTGGTCCTAAAACACTCCCCTGAGGAATTCCGCTTAAGACTTTCTGTAATTTGGATGTAGATCCGTTAACAACTACTTTTTGATGTCTATCACTTAAAAAGTTTTCTATCCATTTAACAGTTTTCGTGCTGATTCCATAATTATATAGCTTGTGTATTAGACGGCAATGGGGTACCTTGTCGAAAGCTTTCATAAAATCCATATAAATGACATCAATTTCTCCTCCCGTATCCAACATATTAGTCCACTCATCTAGGACGATTAACATTTGAAGTGTTGTTGATCTTCCGGGGAGAAATCCAAACTGATTTTTGCTGAATAAATTGTTCAGTTGCATGTGTTGAACTATACTATCACGAATAAATTTTTCCATTGTTTTAACGATGATACTAGTAAGACTAACAGGTCGATAGTTTCCAGGATCGGTTTTTGAACCTTTTTTGTAAATAGCGGTGATGTTCGCGTCCTTCCATGATTGGGGTAGTTTTCCTTCAGAGAGAGATTTATTGAAGATTATCGAAATTGGTATACACAAAACATCGCGAAGTTCCTTTAAATCTTTCGGATGCATCCCATCGGGTCCTGGTGATTTGGTAGCATCTAAATTGAAAAGTAGTTTCTTGATTACATCTCCATTGATTGACGTGTCTTGAAATAAGTGACTGACAGGTCTGGCTAGGAACAGAGGTAGCTCCCCCCGGTAGTTATCCCTTACCAAGCTTCCAGTTATAATAAACTAGTACATTCAGGTGTAGAAATCCTTTCTGTTGTGTGACCCTGGAATTCACTCTAAATTAGTTGTGTTAACTAGGTGTATATATCTGGTGAAAATCATTCATCATTGGAAATTTAAACTGCAGCATTAAGCAGGAATTTTTATAGATATAATTATATCCATAATAAATATGCAATCTATATAATCAAAAGAGCAGAGGGCAAACTCACATTGGGTGAGTCTGACCAGGTAAAAATGGACCCAGAAAGAGGATAAACTTTATGCAGTGATATTGTTGACACTTTTCTTTATCAAATTTTAGTCATTTCACTACTTTGAAATATCTGTGTTCAACCGAAACATCTCATGATCAGCACTTGTTACGTTCGGCTGATCTGTCAGAATTATTAGACAAATAGTTAAACAACTGTTAGCGTAGAATTATATGACATGATTTGTTTATGTGATTGTGATGGTTTTCTGTGATGTATCTTTGATGTAGCAGTGTCAAAACTCAAGTCAAAATAAACCTTTTAATGCTCCTGTTGTAGATATATCCAGCACACCATATCCGAGGACCAGATACTGATGCAAATCAATCCTGGGGAGAACCGCATGCCCTCTAACCCAAGTCATGCCACAATCACCATGGAAACCCGTGACCCTAATACAAAGCTTCTAGAGGTTACAAGGTAACTATTAGAATATTGTTTATTTTCTGTTTTGGTCTAGTTTTATAGCTTGGTCACAAATGCATAACATTATGTATTTTATATTTGAAGCCAATCACTTGTCTAATACCTGTGTGAATACTGTATAGCTGGTTATATTTTCGAGGAATTTAATGTCGCTGTACTCATGGTCATAAAAAATAGTGCGAAATTAAATGCCAAGAAAATAACGACACCATGGATAACAATCTCAGAATATATTTTTTTAAATAGAGACACAAACACAATTTGTTTTTACTACAGAATAATGAAGATAAAACTTCTATTCAGTTTTGTATTTTACTTTATTTCACAAAACACTAGTAGTAGTGCTTGTAAAAGAAATCTTATTAAGTACACATTTAAGTATCGTCAAGGGCGGGATATTTTTACTTGGCAATGTTGCAGGAAATAGAATCTCCTGAACTATTCCAAACAACCATGAAATATCAGCCCTGCGAAAACTATACAGTACCATGTCAAGGATATTATTATATGTTACTCTTGGATTCTGCCGGCTGAAATGAACAGGAAGGAGAGGTTACCGTCTCTATATTTATTTTATTTCAGGAACATTCTAATCACAAACAATAAATTGTACAGGCTTGTTACATTATAAACTTGCTTAGGATAGTAAAGCAAATTAACTGGCTTAATATATCTGTCTAGGGAAATACATTTTAAAGAAATGACAAAATGTGAGTAAGTGTGACAAGAGATGTGACTAAGTGTGACTAGAGATGTGACTTACTGACTTAAGTGACTAAATCGATACGGCTAGCCAACCTGAACAAAATGTGACTATAGGATAACTTGACAGTCCTATAATACACTTACAATAGTGACTTCAAATATGTGACTAAAAAGAGTTAGTCACATATTGACAAAACTTCTCACTTTTCACATAAAACATGTCACATGTCAGTTAAATGATAACTATTAGCATTACTACATCAACAATCTATTACAGATCTATTGTAAATGACAATTATTGAACAATTATTAATTGCATTAAACTCTAACACAAGGCAACCAATTTATCACAAACCGAACAAAAAAAACTATCAGTTCATGTATCAACCTATGGTAAAGACAAAGTATCAGTCAAATAATCGAATTCCTCCTATCAGTCTCTATCATACTATAAATTGTTAAGTATTAACAATTTCAATCAATGGTTACTCTTATCATAATGAGTAATGCCAATATGTGGCATTCCTGTCCATTAATACACATCCGAGACTGTGCTCAATTTACATCCTATAACAATCTCTATTTCGACGAATGTCTAAAGGGAGATAACTCGTAATAACAAATTACTTGGCAAGTTGATGCCTCCATCAATATGATCGTAAAATGTAAACACACAAGTTCATACCAAGTTATAGACATCTTTCATCTCGAAACATATTCTGAATCATTTTTACCTATTTAAGTAACGATTAAACCTCCAAAAATCATCAGATAATGACAATGTAGCACCGCAACGTTTTGGCGGGGAAAATGGCCGACCATGCCGTTTTCACCAACACAACCCTGCAGGTCCTATATCTCGTATTTCATAAGAATTATTCCAAAATACACAACATTATTTGGCAAAAATGTGAACCAACACTTTGTGAACAAATCTACCTACATGTGAAAACATATCACATAGTTTAACTCTGGAACTTACCTGAAATGAACAGGAAGGAGAGGTTACCGTCTCGTATATTTATTTTATTTCAGGAACATTCTTATCGGGTATGCGCACGCATCCTAGCATCCTCATCCCTACATTCGGAGTTATCTCTCTTTATGCAATACCCGTACCCGTTACATAATAGTTGTACCATTATAATCTATATAAAAAAAGGTACCCTAAATATTCCTAAAATACCAGAGTAACATATACAATGTCATTTGTATTTTCCAGGTATCAGTGTAACTACACAGGGTGTCCACGTACATACAGTACTGCAGGAAACCTGAGGACTCATCAGAAAACTCATAAGGGTAAACAGGATAAATGGGTAGAGTAATAGAATCGTTCACCCCCTTGGGGGTGAGATAGGGGATTCTCTTACCCTGGACAGGTGTATCTGCACTTTTACCGAATGTGAGATTTCCTTATCTCACCCTAGGGTTGGGACGGGGGGATTCCCCTATTCATAACAATAGTATGACGTCACTTCAACAATACAATGTCGTCACGTCAACAATCCATCAACTTCACGTCAACCCTGAATTTATCATGTAACGTTATCATTACATTGTGTATATGATACAAAATGGGAGAACAGGGTAAGAGAAAAAGAATCATTCACCCCCTTGTTGGTGAGATAGGGGAATCTCAACCCTCGGGGAAAGATTCTTAAGTTGCCAAACACTCGGCAAAGCCTCGTGTTTGGCAACTTAAGAATCTTTCTCTCAGGTTGGGATTCCCCTATCTCGCCCCCAAGGGTGTGAGAGATTCTATTAATCTCAACCCTCAGGGGAAGATTCTTAAGTTGCCAAAGACAAGGCTTTGCTGAGTGTTTGGCAACTGATGATTTTTTTCCCAAGCGTTGAAATTTCACTCTCTCACCCTTAAGGGGTAAATGATTCTTTTCTCTTACCCCCTTCACCCTGTTAACGCTACAGGCTAAATACACATCTGACGTGTCGTTGATGTACTGTTGACGTGACGTCATACAATTGTTATAAATAGGGGAATCCCCCCGTCTCAACACTAGGGTCAGACAAGGATATCTCGCACCGGTAAAAGTGTGGATACACCTGTCCAGGGTAAGAGACAAGGATATCTCACAGTGGTAAAAGTGTGGATACACCTGTCCAGGGTAAGAGACAAGGATATCTCACACCGGTAAAAGTGTGGATACACCTGCCCAGGGTAAGAGACAAGGATATCTCACATCGGTAAAAGTGTGGATACACCTGCCCAGGGTAAGAGACAAGGATATCTCACACCGGTAAAAGTGTGGATACACCTG